ATCAAGCAGGTCCAAGGTGGTGATACTCCCCCTCTATGCGGCACTGGTCAGGCCATAGCTGGAGTACCGCATCCAGTTCTGGGTGCCGCACTTCAAGAGGGATGTGAACAACATGGAGAGGGTCCAGAGGAGGGCCACTCGCATGATCGGGGGCAGTAGGGCAGGCCCTACGAGGAGAGGCTACGGGACCTGAACCTGTTCAGCCTTCACAAGAGAAGGCTGAGAGGGGATCTAGTGGCCTGTTACAAACTAGTCAGAGGGGACCAGCAGGCACTGGGGAAGTCCCTGTTCCCCCAAGCACTGCCACGAGTGACCAGGAATAACAGTCACAAACTGGCAGAGGGTAGATTCAGGCTAGATATCAGGAGGCGCTACTTGACTGTCAGGGCAGCTAGGATCTGGAACCAACTTCCAAGAGAAGTGGTGCTGGCTCCTACCTTGGGGGTCTTTAAGAGGAGGCTAGATGTACACCTTGCTGGGGTCGTTTGACCCCAGTACTCGTTTCTGCCATGGCAGGGGGTTGGACTCGATTATCTGCTCAGGTCCCTTCCGACCCTAGAAACTATGAAACTACAGGCAACTCCCACTTAACACTGTTTTGCTTAATACTGTTTCACTATAACACTAATTTTAAATTGATACCTGATTTCACTTGGCGCTCAGCAAGTTTTGTTATAATGCTCACAGTTGCCATCTTGGGTAATTAAAAACAATTGCGGTCACCATCTTGGGTCATCAAATACTTTCAGTTTTGCTTAAACACTTGTTTTTTCAGGAACCAATTAAGAGCACTAGATGGGGGTTGCCTGTATTCAGAAACACTGCTTACAATGTTTTTAATACTGTTAATGTTGATTACACATTATATGGGAACACAGTTTGAGAAATGAATACAGAAAAGTTTTGATATCTACCTTCAGAGTTCCTCCTTTCAACATAACTTTTTGTCTGGCTGGCTGAACTCCAGTCAATGCAAAAAGCTGTGCCTTGAATACCATTGGAGGTTCATCAGTATTCAACTCTACGCCATCGAATTTCTCTTTTCCCCATTTTACATTAACTGCAAAGATAAAACAACACAGAACTAGATAATTTTCTGTTCAATTAACTTTAGAGAATTTAAAACTATTCATTTTATTCAAGACCTTGAATCATCTCAATAAATTCAGCTTGATTATCGATATAAAAACTTATGCAAGATACTTCTTTACTACTCACAATCCCAGCTTCACAATACATTACTTCAGGAAACGATAAAATAGAATTCTGTTAGGCAAATGCAAATTCTGTTTCCAAAAGCATAACATACATTCAGAATCTACTCAGCAGCAATGAATGCAAGTTTCAAAATAAGACCAAGCAAAACTGCTTTTCTGGCCAATTTTTATACGCAAACACTGAAAGTTATTTCCATCAATCTACTGACCTGGAAGAGCATGACTACAATTGATCGTGCTTTCAGGTGTCTGCTATGAGAAGATACAGATCCTCAACATAATCACTACAGACTAATTTAGCCTAGATTTTACTACAAAATGAGGAACAGATACAGCTCTCCAAAGTGAGCTACACAGTAAGTGCTATCTTGGGTACCTGGTGTTAGATAGCAGAGCACAGCCAGTTTGCACTAGGTAATTTGCTACCCTGAGATGAAAGACGCAGACATGTTTGGTGCACAGGTTAATTTACACAAACACATAGTTATATTATGTCACTTTCTGAAAAATAACTTTACTCAAGAACAAAATGACTTATGCCTGTGTAAAGCTGCTGTGCCTTGAAGGTCCACTCCACCTTTACCAGAGTGGAAAGTTAACTTAAACAAGTTGTATGCCTGTACCCTAAAACTTCAAGGAATGCGAAGAGGATAGACCTTCCCCCCAAAAGAGAGAGACAGGTAGTTAACCTGTACACTTAAAAAAAGCCCAAAATTTCTATTTAACAGTTATAATTCTTTTGGCTGCAGAGATTATTTTACATCCAGTCACACAATAAATTTGTCAACAGCATATTCAGACAAATTGCTGCAGGTAGCACCAGAAAAAAACAAGCAGTGGACATGCTGTTCCCTCTTAATGGAATGTGAACTTTATAATTCCATCACTGGTAACTGCTTTAGTTCAGACAGGGGCTGCCCATCTTCTAAGCCAGATGCACCAGCCATGGCTATGTCCTGCACAGACGCTACCAAGTGCACTGTGTGGATGCTCCCTCCTCACCCACTGCTGCAACACGCTGCCACATGGGCACCTCCCTACCGCTGCATGGCATGACTGCATTCCCCACTCCCAACCCTAGGTGTGGCCCCAGACTCACCCTCAGCTCCTGCTACTGAGAGACTGCCCCACCCCACTGGGCAGAAAGCAGCAGCCAGAAGAAGGGGGGCAGGAGGGGGAGAAGTCTGGAGAGACTAATTGTTATTGCAGCCAAAGGAGTGGGGACAGTCAGGGAGAGTCAGTCAGGTGTGAGCCCACAGGGTGAGCCTTCCCAGGTGACATGTGGCTCACAGACTGCCAGTTGGGCAGCCCTGCAATAGCACGTTCAGCAAATGATTAATCTATGTGGACATAAGAGTGCCTAACATTTATCTATTATAAGCAATTGTCCCCCTTGGCAGTAAAGCTGGAAGAAGCCATTCATAAAATACAACTAGGGCAAAGCCAAAATATTATTGACCTAGGGCAGAAGAAAGCTTCTGGGGTAAACATCCTGGTTTCACAACACAGCTGTACACCTTCCAACTGGTGCAACAACTTTTCAGACCATTCAGATTGTTACAACATCATTAAAAAGGCTGCAAAGCAGAGGAAACGTGTTTTCAGAAGTGCATGGGACCTGGTACGGCTACAACTAGACCTCTGCTATCGACTGGCCAGAGAAGGCAACACTAGTGACTTGGGACTTTCACACCTCTCTGCCACCCATGGGCTCAGGACAGAGGAGCACATAACAATCACAGAGGTAGCCTTAAACTACCGGCTTATTCACTGATCTGAAGCTAGTCGTGTAACAAGAGAAATTTTTTTTTTTTTGGATAAAAACACGGTAACTCGTCAGGCGACCGCGTCTTGTAAAGAACTTTGCGACCTCTGAGTTTCGGCCCCAAGCGGGCTGTGACTGGCCCCCAGCGGCTGGCTAGAGCACGCGATCTTCCCACCCTACCTTTCCGCCAGGCACTCGCTTGGCGGGAGAGGGACGACCCGGCCTCGGGCACGAACGGGCCTGGAGGACGAGCTCTGGGGCCCGGCGGCTTCTTGAAGCCTTTCGATGATCGGCAGCGCGCAGAGCCCTGCGGCACAACGGTGGGGCCCGGCCTCCCGCCCGCCCCAACCGCCGGCCGGCCGCCCCGGCCCCAGCCCC